CCGCGATCTGGCTAATGAAGAAAAACGGAACCGCGCGACGCTGCGTTCAGAACGCCGCCGAACGAACACACGGAACAAACGCGTTGGCGGCGTTCTGAAAACGCCACCGTTCTGAAAAAGCTGTGTCAAACAGAGCCTAAGACGCCTAAATGGGTGAATTGGGTGTTTCAAAAAGTTATTTCAAATTTTAAAAAATAAAATATTAAATTTTGTTGAAAATTCAATTACATAAATTTATTTGAATACTTTAAGAAATTTTAAAGATAATTGCCAAATCACAATCACATAATGAGAGATATGAGATTTTTACATGGTTCAGTCAAACCTCAAAATTGATCTACAACTATGCCTAACCACCTAAGAATAAGAATTCTTAATATCAAAATCGAGATTATAACGAATCTTTCATACTTTTCTACGCTAGACAAGCACAACCCTGTATTAGTGCACTTTTCTATATTTGCGAAGTATGATTCCAAAGCAGTGTACCTTTCTAGACCGAAAAGGTTAAATACAATAACAAGTAACTATAAGTACAGTAGGAAGACTTACCACTCATATTAAAAATTAATTTTCTCACAACCCAAATGAAGCAATGATAAAGGTAAATAAGAGCACTCACAATTTCAGTTTGATTTTGTTATTTTAATTGCATTGAAAAATATTTTTGGAATAAGAATTTAATCTATTAAAACCCACACTTGCTTGTGATGACAAATCAATCAATAAGAAAAATAAGTTTTCAATCTAAAAAATGAAACTTTGAAATAAAAAAGATTGGCAAAGTCCCAGCCACTTGAAATACGAGTGAAAGAAGATCAAAAATGATTTTTAGAAAGTTCAAATCACCATAAAATATGAAACCCAAAAACTAAGAATTATTATAACATATTAAAGCAATCTCACCAAACCTTTGTTGAGAATATCAAGATGTAAAACATAAAATTTGAAAGTGAGTTTATCAATATGAAAATAAAGAAGAAAAGCTAAGAAAAATTCTCTCCCTTTTTTATCCTTGAAGATGACAATAAGAAAGAGAGAGTTTCATTGTCCATGTAAGAGATCGACACCAATTTTGAACGTAAAAAATTTATGGCCAATGAAGCTAAAAGGCTATCTGAACAATTCATTCTTCGGTACAATGTAGTAGTTGTCAAATTGCACACTCATATTAGCATGATCAGAATTTATCAAATTAGTTTTATTAGCTTGAATTGGGCTTAATAAATCATCTTTAATCGAATCAAATCATCAAAAAAAAAATTTCCATAATTAGCCTCCAAAGTCTACAAAAGAACTTGACATTAATTAGCGCTTGCTGTGGTCGCCAAACAAAATGTGCACTTGCGAAATAACTTGTCAATTAACATGAACAAGTATTATTATGTATATAATCTCGTGCGAGCACATGCAAAGTCTTTACTTCCGACAAACCAAAATCATCAGGATGTTCTCCTTGCTCCAATAGGAGAAATCATCTCTTGCTTCCACCACATCCTGAAAGACATCTCTCCTCCCTCAAATCCACCACGACGCCCACTTGTCACCATCATCTCCTCCGTCACTTTCTGTATCTCCTCTAGCTCTCGCCTCCTCGTTGGAAACTCGAATGCTGTCGTCCCTCCATTCCATGCCCGGGAACCGGAAGATGTGCTCGCACCTGATCTTGATGGTTTATTTTGAGTAGTCGGCACTGGATAAGTTGGAGCTGCAGGAGTTATAGTGCTGGTGATAAATGATGGGGATGGAGGGTGAGTCCACAGGGAGGTTTGAGCAGCTCTCGGACTGGACATTAACGGTTGATGCGAATTGGCGGAGATGGAGTGGGAACGAGAGGGAGTTGTGGGAGTACTGTTTCCGGTGTTGGATTCCATAAAGGAGAGGTTTCTTTTTGCCATTACGTGCCAGTTCTTGAGGCCCGTCACTACTCTGTCTGTGAAGATCGTTTCTCTCATTGTCGATCCCATCTTTTATTTTCAAATATTTACATATGTCAATAAAAAATAAAAAAGCGGATTAGTTCTTGCTGTGGAATATTTAATCATGTTTGTAGCTTAGATCAATATATATATATATATATATATATATATATATTTAGCC